AAGTTATTTATTCGGTATGGGAGTATAACTGACACAATGAAAGTCGTAAGAATAGAAGTAAAGGAGAATATATATATATATATAATGAGTAAAAGCAGACTGCACATGAATGACACATATGCTGATGTCTATAAATCGATATTTGAAGTGTTACCGGAATTAAACACCAGAGTGCAACACATACACATTATAAAAGATAGAATCAATTCAGCTCAGTAAGCATTCGTAAATAAGACACATAGCAAAACACAAGAAGAAGAACACGCAGTCACTTGGAGTAAGTACACAGACAAGTGATCATACGATACATTAACACACGTCTTATACATATTTATACATATTACAGATACGCATGCGCACAGAGGGCGCCATTCATTCTTCATTGGATCTAAAGCTCTTTGTTTGGCCCTGGCCTCTTCTTAGTTTCGTAATCTTTTTTTTTACACAGTCGGAAGGACTCCTTGGACGAGGGATCAGCCAGTCGCAAGGCCGCTGCCTAACACACAGAATAACACAAACATAGAATAAAAGCATACAGACATCCATGCCTTTGAGAGAGATTCGAAAGTACGATTCCAGCGTTTGAGCGGGCGAAGAGAGTTCATGCTTTAGACCGCGCGGCCACTGTGACCGGTAGGGGTGACCGTACATTAAAAAATTGATAACGGAAACCACGTTAAGAGAAGCACATCAGTTTCCTCAGCTGATGATGACCACATTGGTCGAAACAGGCAGTGAAAAACTTTTAAAAATTTAAAAGTTATGTCATGTGGAAACTTTTTAAAGTGAATAAGTTTTATATAAAGACGCGTTAAACGTGACACGATGGAACTAGTAACATTTGATACTACGAGAAAAAGAAAACAAAAAAGAATAAAAATCGTGAGGAAACAGAAGGAAAGGAACCACTTACGATATCTCGGTTCAGACAGAAGGATAATATTAAAATTGACCTTATAGTAATATAATTGGAAGGTGTTGAGTGGATTCATATGGCTCTGGAGAGCGGCAGGCTATTGCAAACATGGCAATGAAGCGATGAGTTACGTAAAATACAGGGAATTTAACTATTAACTCATGAACGGTGAGTCGGTCAACAGGCGCTAGTCTCAAATGAACCCACAGAGAGAACGGATAGAAAGAGATGAATGACATGTACAAAACTCAGGAAAGAAATAAACAAACACACACATTCCGTGGCTTTAGTCCGCAAGCGAACTATACCGACCGAGCACCCGCCGATTGTCGGCGAAGTTAGTGGCAAATTTAACAGATAGAAGGCATCGCGTGTTCAGCGCAACGAATCCCCACGGCCGTTATTTTCGGTTTTCTAGACCGGAGCCGCTACTTTTCCGATCAAGTAGCTCCTCAATTAACCTCACGAGGCTGAGTGGACCCCATTCCAGACCCACTACTATTCAGAAAATATGGTAGCGCCGGGAATCGAACCAGGGACATCTGGATCTGTAGCCAATAATTCTGACCACTAGACCACAGAGACGGTCCGAAAGACATAATCACAGTTCTAATTTCAGTTTGTTTCGAGTCCCGGTAGGAGCAAAATTTTTCTCCTCTCTACGTCGTCCAAAGCAGTTCTGGGGTCACCAGGCCTCTTATCCAACGGGTACCGGGGGTAAAGCGGCTGGGGCGTGAAGCTGACCACTCACTTTCAACCATTGTCGAGGTCAAGAACACGCGAATATATATATATACATTCGTTCCCCCATGCAACTTCATGACGTAGTGCTTAATTGGTTAGGCACAGGGGCAGATTTCCTTTAACACTCGGGTAAGATTGGGTGTCTTGGTACTGTGACCTCAAATATACCAGCCTATGGTGGCAGGCGAGTGGGGGGCGTCGGTGGAATGACCAGTGGTAACCTAAGAAGAAGGTAAATGTATCCCTGTACCAGGCCGTCCAAGCTCATCGGGTTCTGAGACGTCGAGGCTCCCACATTTTCTAGACAATCAGCTCACAGTTGGCAGTGAGATTAAGTAAAGTTACCCCTGTACCAGGCCGTGGAGGCCCATCGGGTTGTGAGACGTCGAGGTTCCCACATTTTCTAGACAATCAGCTAACAGTTGGCAGTGAGATTAAGTAAAGGTATCCCTGTACCAGGCCGTGGAGGCCCATCGGGTTGTGAGACGTCGAGGTTCCCACATTTTCTAGACAATCAGCTAACAGTTGGCAGTGAGATTAAGTAAAGGTATCCCTGTACCAGGCCGTGGAGGCCCATCGGGTTGTGAGACGTCGAGGTTCCCACATTTTCTAGACAATCAGCTAACAGTTGGCAGTGAGATTAAGTAAAGGTATCCCTGTACCAGGCCGTGGAGGCCCATCGGGTTGTGAGACGTCGAGGTTCCCACATTTTCTAGACAATCAGTTAACAGTTGGCATTGAGATTAAGTAAAGGTGTCCCTGTAAGAGGCCGTGGAGGCCCATCGGGTTGCGAGACGTCGAGGCTCCCACATTTTCTAGACAATCGGCTCACAGATGGCGGTGAGTTTGTTAGCCTTACGCGCCGGCCGCCCTTTACCACCAGGAAGATTCCTGGTACTCATTTCTGTTAGAGGCTGAGTCGACCCCAGGGCCATAGTGCACTGACCATACAGGAACTCGAACTCCGACCCCTCGGTCGTCCAGTATGTAGGCAGTAGCTGTACCGACTGGGCTATCCCGGCTGACATAGGAATATTAAATAAATTTAAAAGTCTAGAATCCCGGTAATACTAAACGCAACTTATCGTGCTTATACTTATGTAAATAATACCATGGCTTTTAGGCCTGTTGCTAGGCAACTACTGCTAGATAAGCAAATATACAAGAGTCGTTGTTAAGTAAGGGCCCATAAACAGCAACAGAGAAATTGTTTTCTGTGCAGTCCGTGCCGATGTCTGCACACGCAACAATTGAATACGGCATGCCACCGCTAAACAACAATTACACTGCAACAGAGGAACGATGTTTCCTACACGGTCCGCGCTGAGTTGTTATAAGCGGGACAGTTAATGAGAAGTTAATTAGTCGAGAGTTGCTGTAGCTGAGGCCGGGGAACGTCCGCCTTCGAAGGCGTTACCAAACAACGACTGGTGAAGACACAGCAGACTGAGCAGACTTAAATGTGTGCTCTAGTGAACAATAAAGTTTGTAAATTAGTGAAACGGTTATAATTATTTGTAGTCACGGGTCTGTAAGTGTTCAATAAATCCAGTTACCAATCCAAACCCCGTCTATAGTCACTCATATACATAAAAACCCTATGCTGATTTTAATCCAAAACAACGTGCAATAAAATTTTACCTTCGGTGAACGGAGAGAGCATGTGACAGTGAACACATGTGGCTCCTGAGCTTTCTCCAAAGAGCGTGACACTTTTGGGATTCCCCCCAAATACTGCGATGTTTTCCTGCACCCACATCAGTGCCGCCCTCTGGTCCTTCAACCCATAATTCCCTGGGGATTCATCGTCTCCGGTACTCAGAAATCCTAGAACATCCACAGAAATGCAGTCCGGTAATACAGCGGAAGATGTCTATGTTGGCCATATATTCTTGCAATCCAACGTGGTGAACTTCATGTGGCCAACTTACATAAAACATTGATAAAATTTCCCACTTCTTTGTCACTAGTGACTATATGCTGAGCTCACGTATTATGTTACATTTCCTGTCTTGTCAAGCGTTTTGTACCTCTTTGCTTTCTGACCCGTGGCTACTGGCCAGAACACAGATTGAACAGAGGTGCGGAAAAGATATATTTATCTACGGATATAAAAAAAGCAATCAAAATTACAGAATTGATTGGTTGATTGAAACACAAATCTTCAGAGTGAAAAAATAAAGATGGGGAGGCCAGCTAGCCGTCACGTAACATAGGACAAATGGGTAAAGAAGGCTTCAATTCCACAGATTGGTGGAAACACAATCAGTCTCTCTTTTGTGTGGCCAACATAGTACAGTTAAAACATGTACAGACCTGTAGTATGATATGCAATAAGGTGGACAAGATACAAGACAGACAAGTGGCCAAATTAAAGTGTTGGTCTTGTGTAAATTAAAACAATTTTACTCTTACCATAAAAATGTGAACAATTACATTAAGTAAACAATAAGAGGAGATGCCAAATTCATACTCTTCACGCCATGAACATCACAATGGGCGCCGTTCAGCAAAATACTTATTTTCCCTTACGTACACATAGAGTATTGTTCTTTTTTAATGTTAGTGGGGTGGGACTAAGTCCATCTGGGGCTGGTAGGTGAGGGTGATTGTGGAGCAATTGGTGGAATGAAGATTGGCAGGGGAAACCGAAGTACCCGGAGAAAACCTGCCCCAGCGCCACTTTGTCCACCACAAATCCCACTTGACCAGATCCGGGATCGAACCTGGGCCGCCGCGGTGGGAAGACTCTTCAACTAACCGCTTGAGCTATGGAGCGGCCACTTTGTGCAACTAACATTTGTATAGATTGATTATTATTCTTAAACCCTGATATTCCGCCAACTGACAGGCTAATTCAAAAGTACCCCTTAAATCACTTAAAATGGAAAGTCTTACATTATCTAATTAAATACGTTAATCATAATTATGTCGTTAACATGAATTCGGTTTACACAAAATGTCAGCATAACATACAGAACATGCTTTTATGTTCTCATGGCACAACTTCAGAAAACATGTATCACCGTTTAGAACCTCTGGTTTAGACAACAAAGGTGCATGCAATTGTATAGACTAAAAATTATACGGTATAGAAAGATGATAATTATAATGAAGGGGACATATATTTTTTGGGCTGAACTATATTTTGTTTTAATGTGACTTACCGTATACACCTAATCTATAATTAAAGGTCACTAAAACAACGTTCTTATCCATAAGGAAGTCTGGGGGATAATTCTGTGCTGAACCGGAATAAAACAACCCTCCATGAATCCAGCACATCACATCCAGGAGGTCGCCATTTTGTTTACTGTGGCTTCCATTTTGTTGCGGAAGCTGAAAGAGACAGAGGAATGATTCTGAACAATAATTTCGGTTCTTGTGGCAGTGTTTTCTTCATCTTTCGGTCCCAAGACATATCCTAGTAAAATGTAATGTGTATATATAAAATAAATCATTATATCTATTAATACAACATAACTTCAAGACGGTTCATTTAAATCGGAACATTCAAACAAAGTAAATTGAAGATATTTCATAGGTTGAATCGTGGTTCCATGCTTAAGGAGCAAATAATAAGATGGTGATCACCTGCGGCGTGAAAACGTTGAGATAGAGGCAGTCCTCGCTACCAGTGACGAAAATGGAGAGCTGTATGCACTTAGGCCCGGGTTTTGTAGCGTCCAGTTCGCCTTCCCACGAGGTTGGTGTCTGAGTTTCCTGCTCATAACATTCAGCAAAGGGTTTGTAACCCTGATCTGGTAATGGACAATGAAAGAAGAAGGGTGAAGTTGATGGGAATTGTGATTAGAATACCAAGCAAGGTGGCTAAGGTGGTTTGAAAAATAAGATATACATTTCAAAATAAGATATACCGTATTTACGCATGTATAGGCCGCAAATTTTTTTGCCAAAAATTCAAGAGGAAAACTGGGGGGCGGCTTATATTCGAAATATTCGAAATCACACTTCATTTAAAAAAAACATATTCATAATTAGTAATACAGGGTGTTCTACTCCTGAAATAATATTCCAAGAAAATTATTTTTTCTATAATTTCTGTCTGAAAATTGTGCTGTGGCCTATACACGCACGCGGCCTATACATGCGTAAATACGGTAAATACAGGAAACGTAAGTAGGCCCACAAAAATATAGTTGAAATATAAAGAAAATGGTTTAGGAGAGCTGAGAGCGAGGAGATTGAGGCATGGGCGTGGGGTATGGAACTCTGATACTCTGATCTATAGAAGCCAAGGTCCCTACGGGACCCCAGAGGCAAATAAGAATTAAGTAAATAACCAGGATGCTTTATGTGCTTTACATTATATAGATTTTGTTTCATATTATGATAACTTTAAGTAAAGGAGATTAAGGTGAAAAATACTCAACTGAATCATCTCAAGCAATTATGTAACTCCGTGACCTGTAGTCCGCAAGCGAACTATATCTACCGAGCGACTGCCGCTTCTCGGCGATGTTAGTGCCAACTTTAGCGAATAGAGGGTATCGCGTGGTCAGCGCAACGAATCCCCACGGCCGTTAATTTCGGTTTTCCGGACCGGAGCCGCTATTTCCTTGAAATAGCTCCTCAATTATCCTCACGAGGCTGAGTGGACCCCGTTCGAGACCCACTATGTCTCAGAAAATGTGATAGCGCCGGGAATTGAACCGGGGACATCTGGATCTGTAGCCATGAACTCTGACCACTAGACCACAGAGGCGGTCCTGGAGGAATGATATAATAAAAATTATTTCATAAAGACGTAATTTATAATTTGTTATTTTAAGTTGCTTTAAATCAACTCTTAATCCATTAGCACAACATTCGGTTACACAAAAAATTCCCCGTGTTTTAAGAACTAGTTTTTATTAACGTTTAATGCAATCATATTTCTGTTAATATAGTTATTGTTTATAATAGTACTGTCAGGTACATCTAGGTCAGGTCAGCAGGTCAACTTGGTCTAGGCCCTTGGCCTAGGGGAGCTCAAATATATTCTTGTTTAATTAAAAAAATTAAATAATTGTCAAATTATATGCCAGAAAATGTGACCAATATGTATATTCTGAAACATCGTAAACTGTCTCCATTACATAATTTAAATATTATTTTAACAAAGAATACAATATCTGATATTTTGAAATATTTACTAAATAAATTCACATATTTATATGGGGCACGGAGTGGGCCAGGAGCCCCACGTCTATTACAGCCCCTTGTCCCGTCCTACTTTCTCAAGCACTGATCGTGGTAATAAAGCTTAACTGATTATTAAAAAGTTGTTACTGTCGTTAAGTTATTAATAATTTGAATTAATGATTAACATAGCACCAAAATATACGCCACAATAAAAAAATTTTCGCTAGAAAAAGATAACATTTTTATTTTCTATGGCGAGATTATAACGTTCAAAATGGCTGGTGAAAAATAAGATGGAAGTTGTTTAGGATCACTGTGTGCTTGCTATCAAGTCATTTGATCGTTAGATAATTCTGATGACTGTCTCAGTTCTCTGTTTCATTTAATGAAGTTACGAAAATTTGCTCTTATAAAAAAAAATGTGAAAATTACGCAGACATTTGGCGGGAAAACTCACGAAAAAAATTTGTCACAAAAGCGTAGGTTTTAAAATGATATTAATACATATCTTAGTATAATGTTTCGGAGATGCAAAATAGACTGATTCGAATCAATTTAATATCTGAAAGCTATCTGCTCTCATGATGTTTATTAATCTTTGAGTTCCATAGAATGAGGACTTTTTCTTATCGCCTGAATAACTATTTCATGATATGAGTTATGTGATTGTACGGCTGTGAGAAGTCAGATTACACTCTTGTATTCATGTAGGTGACGGTCAAAGATCTGGAGGAACCTGCTGCCTCCATCTTCAGCGCACAATTCTCTGGTAAGCGTCTACACCCGTGTTTCTCAACAGCGGGGCCGCGGTCCGGTACCGGACCATCGTCTTATAGAAAAAAGAATTTACCGGGCCGCGGTTTAACAAAAGTAAAGAACCACTGGTCTACACCACTACAAAATGTCACAGCCCAAAATAAGCTTTACTCTCCCAGAAAGGCGTACAGAAAATGAGCCAGTCCTACCAACATGAAGCACTCACTCTGAACCTTAGCAATCCGGTTGGCGGCTTCGCGTAAGGGATTCCCTGGAAGGAGTAGAAAGTCCTGCCCTTCGCAGATGTCATAGTCTTCCCTCTCATGACCCCTTGCCGTACAGTCACACGTATTGCACCTGAATCAACGGCCTGCGACAGGAGTGTACAATGAGATACAAAACGTAGACAACATTTGTCCGCTATAGGAGTTGTCGATCCCTGTAACAGACTGTGGAGGCCCATAGGGTTGTGAGATGCTGAGGTTCCAACATTTTCTAGACAATCGGCTCATGCTACAAGTCGGAAGGTCGCTGGTTCAAGTCCCGATGAGGTCATTCGATTTTTCAGTTGACCTAATCCTTCGGGCCACACTATACGGCCCTGGGGTCGTCTCAGCATCTAACAGAAATGAGTACAGGAATATTCTCGGAATATTCTTGGGGTAAAGGGAGGCCGGCGCGTAGGACTTGTAACCTTACCGCCATCTGTGAGCCGATTGTCCAGAAAATGTGGGAGCCTCGAAGTCTCACAACCCTATGGGCCTCCACAGCCTGTTACTGGGATAGCTTTACTTACTTTTATGATTTGTCGATACGTCTTGAATGACATAAGCTCTTCCTGTGCCTAACTAATTAAGCGCAATAACATGAAGACGTATGGGGGAGTGGATGTATAGAGCCATATGTTCTTGTACTCGACTCTATTTGGAAGTTAGTGGTCAGTTTCACGCCCCGGCAACTTTATTCCCGGAGAGAGAGCCCCGGTATCAATTGGATAGGAGGCTAGATGAGACGCTGTGGAGAGGAGAAAAATTTCTTTCTACCGGGACTCGAACTCCAAACCTTTAGCTTTCAAGCTCGTAAACAGTCGTTATACCGATGTTGAATGTGATAACGAGGAGAAAAAATATTTATTTTGATATTCAAAAACAAATATAGTGTTATGTTTGGTTTATTTAAAGCAAACATGGCAGAAAGTAATCTTAAATACATTTATGATTTTTTTAGAGAAATATACGCAAGGTTGAGGCAAAGAAGAAAGCCAAAACTGTCCCTGTAACAGGCCGCGGAGGCCCACAGACTTGTGGGACATCGAGACTCCCACATTTTCTAGAAAATCGGCTCACAGATGGCGGTGAGGTTGTCAGCCTTACACGCCGGCCGCCATTTACTCCCCAGGAAGATTCCTGGTACTCATTTCTGTTAGAGGCTAAGTCGACTCCAGGGCCATAGTGCGGCTGGAAGTATTAGGCAAATTGAAAAATCTAATGCCCTCAACGGAATTCGATCTCCCGACCTACCGGCTTGTAGCGTGGTGCCTCAACCAACTACGCTACTGTACGCTACCGCGTGCCCAACGAATGGCTGAGAGATTTTATACTTCCGAGTCGACTGCATATCTCGCTATGAACTTACTTGCGAGCCATGTGTCGCCATCTGGAGAGCGCAACTGACAATTAACGCCGCCATATGCCTCCGCCATTTTGTCTGCATTGTCCTGCGTTTCGTTGCGATCTCACAAGAACTGGAAATCCTGAAAGGGCGAAGCCTGAAATCTAAAACACAACGATTTCATTGGAGTCTAGTATCTAGGGATGAATGCATACCCGGAGTGTCTGAGAACAGGATGGTGGGGAGAAAGTTTAGATCTAAGAGAGAGGAAGTTACAGGAATATGGAGAAAATTACACAGCGAAGAGCTTAATAATTTGTAGGCCTACTGAGAAGGGAGTGGGCCGCATGAGATGTCAAAAATGCGTGTAAAACTGCACTCGAAGAATCTGAAGGGCAAGACAGGCTGAGAGGATTGCCACAGATGGGACGAAACCATTCCTAATACTGGAACGGATCTTAAAGCGATAGGATAGGAGATTGTGTGCTGGATCCATATGGTTCAGGCTAGAGACTAATATTCAGCTTTAGGTAACACGCCGATTAATTTTTGGGACTCCTTAAGAAACAGGGAATATCTTCAGAATTACTGGGTTTTTGGACTTTTCCCATCGTCTGATATTCTAAAAAATAAAAAATACGACGTTTCGGAAAGTGGATCTCTTTCCGTCCTCAGGTGAGGGGGCGGAAGACGCCTACTCAGTTGGACCCCTTTTGACAGAACTAACCTCAATCTTGACTAGCTGAAAAAAGTGAGGTCCTCAAGAAGGACTCGTTCATGCAGTTAGATAGCTATCTTTAGAATATATTTGTCAGTTATCCGGGGGAATACGATACAACATTTATTAGCCTAAATTCCATGTTTAAAAAAAAATAAAAGGAAGCTTATGAGATCCCCTTGCTGTCTGTCTGTGTATGTTTTCTACTTCTATGTGATCAGTGACGCAACAAAGTAAACTAGACGATAAGTTGTTGCCAGGACTTCATAGGATATTGGTGAGAAAACTATAAGGAAAGACACTACTTGGAAGACCAAGACGTAGGCGGGTGGACAGTATTAAAATTGATCTTAGAGAGATAGGATGGGTGTTGTGGATTGGATTGATCTGACTCAGGATAGGGACACATTGACGGCTCCTGTGGACACGGTAATGAAACTTCGGGTTCCATAAAATGCTGGGAAGTTCTTGTAGCTGCAGAATTGGCGGTTTCTCGAGAAGGGCTCAGCTCCATGAGTGAGTGAATTCTATGTTGGTAGTGACTGGCATACAACCGTTTCGCGATAAGGGCGCGGGTGTTTCTATTCATCGCCGCATCTAGGCCAGCTTTAGGCCACCCAACTCCTACTCCTACAGATTGCAGGATGATGAACTGGGAAGGCTGTGGAATTTCAGCCTCTGACAGAAATGAGTATCAGCTATCTTCCGGCGCGCAAGACTGACAACCTTACCGTCATCTGTGAGTCGATTGTCTAGAAAATGTGGGAGCCTCGACGTCTCACAAACCTATGGGCCTCCACGGCCTGTTACAAGATAGCGTCACTTTTTTATTCTAGTCAATGACGCAATATTATGAGATGTTACCCCGGTAACCGGGTGGACTATGTTAAGACAGAAACAACGGCGTCTGGGCCGATAATCGAAAGCGGTAGCTACTCAATAAAAGTAAAGCTATCCCTGTAACAGGCCGTGGAGGCCCATAGGGTTGTGAGACGTCGAGGCTCCCACATTTTCTCTAGACAATCTGCTCACAGATAGCGGTAAGGTTGTCAGCCTTACGCGCCGACCGCTCTTGACCCCCAGGAAGTTTCCTGGTACTCATTTCCGTTAGAGACCGAGTCGACCCGAGGGCCATAGTGCGACTAGATGGATTAGGTAAATCGAAAAATATCCACCCAATGAAGGTATATAAGAGAAATGTGTACGTTTCACGTGACAATACTATACGCAAAATTGGGCAAAACCTACGCGGAATTAGAATACATTAAAAAAACGGGATTCGAGGGTAGAACACTTATCTCTATTTCAAGATTATTGTATTCTGGGATATTGTGTCTTATTATCTAGAAATTCGCCGACGTTTCGGAGGAATATTTCATCCATCTTCAGGGTCCAAGAATAATCAGAATAAACCGAACAAACAAGCAACATACAGATGTATGCTTGCTAGATTCTGATTGTCAGTTGCTTTCTGTGCTTACTCTTCGTCCCTGAAGCTGGAGGCAACATGCTCCTACGAACTTTGAAAAACTTCCACCAAACTCCACGGCATCACATCCAAGAAAAGAGTAGTCTTCATAATCTTTGATTCTCTCTCTTTCATTGCTGAAGGTTGAGTAATTCATTATCTATTGTTTCGTGAATATTATCTGTTCGCAGAAAATACCGGGAGACCTGTTCACGCAATTGTATCTCACATACATGCCTATCTTATCTCCCGCTGTGGGGCGCCTAACGTCATAGACAACTGTTTGGCATTATCGATATGTTGGTTGCATGCATTGAAGGCGTTAGGCTTTCTGACCGTACGTCATTTGAGTTCTTTATGTCGGTAGTGTTTCATATTGTGAACCTTGAAATTATCAGTGAGCTGACTGTGATGACTTACTGGAATGTGAAGTCATGTAATCAGATAGAAACTTACCGACGTTTCGTAGGAACGTAATCTCTCGAGACTATACGACGCCTCACCTGAGAATTGATTACACTTCATAATGACTATTGTTAAGAATGTTAAACCCAACAAGGTTATGCCTTAATGACAGTATTTCCAACTTTGCTTTAGAACACGCGACTATGAAGGTCAAAAGAAATGAGTGGGACTGAATGAATTACATCAAGTTATCATTAAATATCGAATTTGGGCGTAAATATCATACGGAGAAATACAGACCATGCATTAGTCTACTAGTATGTAGACTGGTATAGACGTGAAGGTAATACAATGTAAATTCACTCCTCGTCAACATAATCCAGGGCGAAATCATAACATGCAGACAGCTTTGAATATGTAAGATTTGAGGTTTCCACGGCGGTGTAGATGTGGTATTAACCGACGTTTCGGAGGAACGTATCGCCTCCATCTTCAGTGAAGAGACCGTGAGAACCGGTACAAGCAGTCTGCTACACGGTGCCAAATCCCAGAAGACTACTTTCTTCATAGCTTTCAATAACAAATCAAAATTGTAGTAAAAAAATCAAGAGCAGGCAAAACCATTTAGGAATTTAGGCCTGCGTAGCTTCAGTAATATTAAATTGGATATTTAAAAAATACGGTGTGAGGACGAAGACTAGGTTCGGCTGGCTCAAAATAGGGCCCACTGCTGGGTTTTTGGGAACATAAGGTAAAATATCACGTAAAGTTTTCCCTTTGCTTAACTAATTAAGTATTACTCCATGAAGGCGTATGAGGGAGTAAAAGTACTGATCCACGTTCTCTTGACCTAGGCACTAGTTGGAAGTGAGTGGTCAGTTTCATGTCCCGGCCGCTTTAATCCGGGGAAGAACCCTAGGTACTCATTAGATAGGAGGCTGTGTAGAACCTAGAGCTGGTCTGGACGACATTGAGAAGAGAAAATTCTTGACCCTACTGGGACTAGAACTCAGACCCTTCGGTCGTAGCCAGTATCCAGTCGCTATACCAACTGAGCTATCCTGACTCCCGTGAAAACATAGCAATTAAAATGTCGGTGCCATGAAATGTAGCAAGGAAGAGGCTGGAGCAGAAATAGAACTGAAATCGGCTACGATGAAAGAAATGAAGAATGTATAAAGAATTTTTGTTGGGAAACATTATGCAAATATACGCTTAGAATATAGAGGAAGTGGGAGTATAGTATTAAGTTGAAGTGTTGTGAGGTGGTTAGATCTGGCTCAGGATATCCTACGGAGGATTTTAGTAGTAGCAATGTCGGACCATCAGGTTGTGCTACCCCAGAGAGTTATTTCATTATTTTATGCAGGCAATAAGCTGCACAAATTTGAGTTGTGTTGAATAAAAAGCCTGTCGTGATCCTGTTTTAAGTAGGGTGCAATGTGACGTTCATACGTAGGCATGTGAGACTTACACTTGCAAGCTGACACAATGTATCGACAGTTGAAAATGTTTAGCTCGTAGGTGACAGCCAGAGGTACATGAATTATTGTTTGGTCTAGAATATAGAGGCGTAAGCCAATTTTCCTCAGTAGGTTACTGACAGATCACGAAAAGTTTAATTTTCGCTGGTCTGCAAATTTTAGTTTGTGTTATGTTATAGAGGCCTATTGCTCAGGTAGACGAAGGTTCTAAGGCATGTACTCTATTCGCTCGCTCGGAAACCGGGATCGTAGGTTCGAATCCCACAAAAGACATGGATATTTGGTGTTTATGTTGTCCTGTGTTTATATAGAGGCCTTGCGACGGGCTGATCAGCCGTCCTAGGAATCCTAACGTCTGTAAAAATGACCATTGAAGCTGAGATATCAGCATATGCTCCAAAGTGGGAGAGAAGAGGAAGAAAAATAATATAGATCTACCATTTATCTGAGAAACTAACGCCATCTAGGAGAATCCTTCAGAACCTAATATCACTCAGCTAGTTAAATCTCTCTACACTTTATAAAACCCATTACTTCATTAAGGCATTCAAAATAGGCTGCCACTATTACTTTCCTTGAGCCAGTTCAATCCAGTCAATTCTATTATTTGTTATTTCCCGAAGATAATTTTAATATTTACTTTGCCATCTATGCTGCCTATGTAATTGAAATGTTCTGATCTTTTCAGGCTTCAAACTAAAATTCTGTATGCCTTTCTTACATAGTCCATGCATGTCACGTATCCAGTAAAATTCATGCCTCTTCCTTTGTTGGATGTTATATTTATTTGATTAAGTATCTATTAGCACATCTCTAAATATTTAATTATTTTACTGAATCTGATAAAAATGTTCCAGTATTGCTAAGCTTTAAGTTTATTCTTAGCTACTGAACAATTTGTAAACTGTACTCCCTTCTGCTGTGTAACACCATGTAATTCAGTAGAAGTGCACCGACATTCGGCATATTTCCACCAGACTAACCGGGTTATATCTCGGAATATAGGAGTCTTTCAGGGCCGAGTCTGTGGTGGGGGGGGGAGATAGGGGCGGCCACAACGGGGCCTCCAAAAAACAGAAATATAATTAACAGATATTACTGAGATATATGATTATCTAAAATCACGAATCACGCGGTAGTGTAGTTGGTTGAGGCACATGCTACAAGCCGGAAGGTCGCGGGTTCAAATCCCGATGAGGTCATTGGATTTTTTTTTCCGATTAATCTAATCCTTCCAGCCACACTATGGCCCTGGGGTCAACTCAGCCGCTAACAGAAATGTGTACCAGGAATTATTTAAGGGGGTAAAAGGCGGCCGGAGATTAAGGCTGACAACCTCACCGCTATCTTTGAGCCGATTGTCTAGAGAAAATGTAGGAGCCTCGACGTCTCACAACCCTATGGGCCTCCACGGTCTGTTACAGGGACAGCCTTACCTTTACATTTTACCACAAGTTATAGAGAAAAATAATACACACACTGCATATTCTTTTAATTTGTTTCTTAAGTCTTACGGTTTTCAGTTCAACAGAAAAGGAAAGAGAGATAAGGAGCCTTGGAAAATTCAGCGATGTTTATCCGTCCGTGAAACAGTTACAAATGGAGAACAAGGAAAATACTCGTATATGCTTATTGCACGTCAGACATTTTCATGGACACACATTAGAAGACCATTTTGGCTGGTCCAACTTGTATATATACAGTGAAATGATGCCCGAAAGTCGTAAGAGCGAAGTTAGAATAGATGTTCGTTTCTAGGCAACGACTTGATGAATACATTCCCACGGCAACGAATACGCAAACAACAATCAAGTAACTTCCATTGTTAAGCAACGACATTGTAAACACGCCTTCACAACATTAGAGAGGCTGTTTTCTGCGTGGTCCGTGTAAAATGTTTATAAAGGACAATTCATTTGAGAAGACGTACATGAGTCCAGTTTCGAGACGCCAGCCTGCCAGCTTGGGAGCACAGGAATTGAATTAGTTGTCAGTTGCAGAACAGTGGGAATAAATGAATCAGGCGGTGCAAAGAAGTCTTCATGTGTGGTTTGAAGTGATAACTTTATAAATCCGTTGCCAGGATACGACTAGTGAAGACTGAGATTCATACCGCGAGTGTAAAGCTAAACTGTGTAAGAATGTAAATCAGAGACAGACTATAGTCTCGAACTGTATTAATAAGGTGTCAATAAACTCAATCATCCAATTCAAAACCCGTCTTATAAGTCACGCACAACCCCCTTCAAGTGACAATATATTTCCGTCTAAAATGCAATTTAATGTGGTGTTCTGCTTCTCTATCACTATATGTTTCGGCCGAAAACGAGCCATCATCAGATGCGTGTCTACCTTGCCAACAATTTTGTACTGTATGCTAAAATTACATATTGCGTGTGAAAGCGATGTTGATCAGTTATTAATATATAGAACTAGAATTAAGATTATAATTAAAAATTAAAACTTCTTTAATGTTATCTTCATTGTAATCACCAGCTATTTATTGAAATATATTTATTTGCGAGTATATTTGCTGATGTTGGATCTTGTACTGTATTCCTTCGTAGCGGCGTGGGTGTTGTATAAGTATGTTACTTATTTAGCTCTTACAGATGATAATGTAATGTTATTACTTGCACGTTATATATGTTAGAGTGACTTGTAGATTTTTAGATTTTTCCACACTGTTGTGCTGGTTATACTGTTGTTTCTTTGTGTGTGTGTAAGGCTGGCGTCACCACGGAGGCCCAGTCGGTTTTGTGCTCTACCAATCTTGGAGGAGTTCATTACAAAAGGTCACTTCCTTTGACATCCTTCCCAGTTATTCACTCACAAACTAACCTAAAATTTGACTCTCTAAAGATGAAAAATATTAGTCATTCAATTCTGTTACCAACTTCATATAACCGGAGATCCTTCCACAGTGTCCATATTGACCCTGGAGCCCATTCAGCCTCCTATCCAATGGTTACTTGGCATCCTTCTCCGGGAATAAAGCGGCCGGAGATGTGAAGCTAATCGCTTGATCACTAAGCTCCATCTAGTGTTGAAGTCAAGAACGATGAAGCTATACCTCCACTCCCCCATAAGTCATCATGACGTAGTGATTAATTAAGTAACCACGGCGACCAACTTTATTTTTGACTTCATAGTTTTCATTCACAAGAAGGCAAGCATGTCATCTATTGTGGCTATCATCACTTGTTCGGATTTCTCAACACTTATCGGTTCCAGTGATGATACCAACTTCATTTTCAAATCAGTGTACACTTCACATGATATGAAAGCCCTAGTAAATAAAAAATTGGTTCTTATAATAACACCACAAATCCAAAATTTGCGAACACATACAGTTCAAAATATGAGAATCATACAAACGTCAACACATTAAATTTAATTAAAACCAAAAAGACAACACCACTATTATTTCAGCATCGAAGTGTGTGAGTAATAATGAGGACATGATCTGGATCTATAACCGCAGAATAAAGACACCAGAAACATCTATTAACGTAAGTGAAAATAATGGAGTACATAACTTACTGAGGCTGCTATTTTACTGAAGGCACTGCTGCCGCGATAGCTACAACAATGAATTGTATAAAGCTTCCTCAGAAATACGAGTCTCGTTATCACAACGATAAGCGTTTGAATTCTACAAATGACCATGGACAAAAAGCATTAATACCTTCAAACTTTCCGTACGTATTGATAGTAGCCATTCATTTGTTCAACTTAAAGTCAGTGTTACCAACATTACAGCTTGTAAAATTAAGAGAAGCGACATGAAATCTAATAATGGCATTTTAGGAAATAGTAAATGATAAGTAATGAAAACAGGAAATCCTTGCATATGAGAGTCTAGACCTTAAAATTCTGTCTACGTTCAATTGGTATACCTTGCAATTCTGTTTTCGTTCTGCCCCTCTATATAAAGGCATTGTTAATAGCAATTACGGATGGGACAGCCAAGCGGCAGCTAGAGGTACCGAATTTTTAAATTCGGAAAAAAAACTAAAATAAAACAATTCCATATCTACACATCAATATATATATATATATATATTGCGTCTATTCAGTGAAATGGAGACTTAATAAAAAAGAGGGGTTATTTTTGGAAATTGCAACTACAAACGAAACTTGTTTATTTCGAAGTGTTTGTCCATTTACTGCATTTAAGACCACTCAGAATACGAGCGGATGAGTATAAACATTGGTAGTAATGTTTAAACAATAGCTACTAATTTCTATCAATTTATCTTGTACCTTAAGCCTAAATCACTCAGCCTCCGCATGCTGGGGTACGTCAAGTTGAGACCAAAGAAAATATATATATATATATATATATCTTAGTTTAGTGGCTACCAATTACAATTATTATATTCACTGTTGACAGTCGAAGAAGAAAAAGAAGAGGCTTCCTCCACTCTCTCGAAAATTTTCTTCTACATATAAGCCCTATTATGCATATGGCATTATATCAAGTACGCATGTGACGGTGGAGCTCTATAAGTCAAGTCAAAGAGGATGAGGTGGGCAGGACATGTAGCACGAATAAGGGAGAAGAGGAATCTATACAGCCAGACGAGACCACTGGGATGGCCAAGGCGTAGGTATGTGGACAATATTAAAATTGATCTTAGAAAGATAGGATGGGATGGTATGGATTGGATTGATCTGGCTCAGGATAGGAACCAGTAGAGGACTCTTATGAACACGGTAATGAACCTTCGGGTTCCGTAAAATGCTGGGATATTCTTGAGTAGCTGCAGAATTGGCAGCTCCACAAGTAGGGCTCAGCTGCATGAGTAAGTAGGTAAGCAATGTAACTGTTCTCTCGTAACTTTTGAAATTATTGGGATTAGGTAAAGTTTTAAGTTAGTGCGTCAAAATTTCAATGGTCTCTACTCGAATTTTAAGTGTAAATATTTCATGGGAATCCGTGTTAAGGTCAACAATGAAAGTGGTCATTCTGAGAAGTGATGTACATATGTAAATGGGTTCAAAGGCACCCGAGTG